GGGGGTTGTTGCTTGATGACAGAGTATCTATTGGGCGAGGGTCAGACATTTCAGTCTGGAAAAGATAAAGATCGACTGATCTCTACTTAATACATGTTGCCTCGATTTGCTCAAGTAGCCCTTTCTTGGCGAGATCATCTCGAGCCTCCAATTTCCATATACTTTTAGTAATACTCGTTGTGGATATCATTCACCTTATCTGCGCTTTGTCTCATCACATATTGGGGGTTAGCACACACAAGGGATCTCCTTTACGAGGAAAAACCGAAGGTACAATGGATCTTATTAATAATGTAGAAAATTTATCCGGTTATACTGATACAACCTCGCATGCTCTTCTTCTTGTTGATCAAATGAGGTGTTGTTATTGGACTTGTGAAAGGCAGTAGAAACTAAAAGTGAAATATATTGAATGCTTACTTCTATATTTTACACAACCCTGTACAATCTTCATCTGCATTGCAACTTGACTAAGTCAAGTTGCAGGTGGCTCACGTCCAGTCCGTTGATCGTCCCACATGGCGTCCGTATCACCGCGTCTCACCTATCAAGTTATCAGAATAATAGCCACCAAGGTGTGGTCAGACCTGATCTGTAATAGGTTTTGAAGTTTACCACTGAAACTTTAATCACCTGGGGAGAGTGATCTATCATAACACTTGTGTCACTCGCTATAATGACAGGCACATCATCACGACGATGAACAGTCGCCCGATGTCTCGCCCAAAATACTGGCCACTCACCTCGCGCGTTTGAAAGTACTAGATCACCTTGGAGGCGCATACAAGCCCACTTGTATTACGTAACGAGTAAGATATCTTGATTATAACTCTGAATATCAATATTAGTGGATATGATCAGTTTGGATAATATTTATCATCCAGATTCAGAAATAACACTAATATCATGTAGCACGTCACCCCTATTTCGATGCGCCTTTAAAAAAAGATGCACCTCCGACTCGGTTTCAGCTAGCGTTTATCTGAATTATCATAAAATAAGCCTTGTCAATTTTCTTTTGAGCACAACATTGGGGCCAACTGATGCAAGAGGTCTTGCGATGTGTACGCCGTCAGCCTTAATTCGTGTGTACCACACAATATACAAACCATTCGCTTTGCCGACCCTCACACATATTAGTGTGTGCCACACTAATTTGGAATCTACACTCTTAGCCAGTCCACACTAATCAAGGTTAACGGTGTAGCTAGTACCAGCTGAGCTATCACTGACGTGTTTATGTAAGGTCGAATCTGAGCTGCTGTTGTTCACGTGTGGCAAACATTCCTGTGCCACCTTTTGTAGTCTATCTCAGATATACCAACAAGGCACCCGTAGCACGAGAAAAGCGCTTTTGTGAAAGACATACATAACCCTTCAAGACCTTTGACGACCCAATCACTCAACACATTGCAAAGGTCTTGGAGCCACAATCATTTCAAGCCTCTTCGTCCCTGTTATCACGACCATTTCATCCGACAGAATCGTGAGCTACCCATTCTGGAAGAATGCCAGGAACTTGCTCGTACTTTTATGTCGGCGCACACCTTAGATCCAAGCGGTGCATATGTGTGGCAGCAGTGTTAGTATCCTGCCGCGACATTATCGATAGTGCGAATACGCAGCACGTTCGTGGACATTGTTGCGACGATTATAGCAAAGACCGTATTAGTCAAGTCGTACTTAATAGTCGCAAATCACATTAATAAAGCAGTGAATACCGAAATCGCTTTTCGGTCGTATATTTAATATCAACAAGATTGTGATGATGATGATGATGATGATGATGATGATGGTAAGGTGAGGTACATCGAATTACTTCGGGAGATCTCTAATGGCCGTGATGCCGATACTTCGATCTACGCATCGCTAACAAAAGTATACATACATATTGGATGCAAGTAACCAGACGATGATCATTCGTTAATGCTGCGTTGCCCTGACGGTAAGCAAGTGCTGCGGACTTGTTCCGTCAACCATGTCACAGTTGATGCGATCATCTGTTGTACCGTCAGGCTCATGGAGATCCACAGCTGAACGTCGTTGTCGAGATATTGCGTTATGTCCTTGAGGATAGTTCGGTTGTCGGCTGTCGCTGTCTGCACCGATCGCTGTGAGTCCATCGCAATGTTGACGGTCCGAAGTCAACAAGATTTCCAGCTGCACTAAAAGAAATACAAGCATTTTTCTCGACCGAAGAGGTTGTTGCACTTCATGCTTTGTCGGTGATGGACAGATTATGATGTCTACGAAAAAGCTATACATTGTGCGAGCGGTTTCCGTCGCAGTCAGCGTCAGCTTTATATTTGGTACCATCTCAATCCGCACCATCGTTGCTATGAGCCTGTCGACATCTCATGCTGTAGCTCTGGCGCTTGACCTGATATTGTCGCCCTTTGACTCAATCGATACTGCTTACGAAGCCAGTTTGTGCACAAAATGCTGGAAGTAGTCTGCTGAACTCAAGCGTCAAAGTCCAACTCACTGTGCAATCGGCACCATGTTAATAGACGTAATTTATCAATAATTCGGGTACACCAGTCGGGTCGCTGGCGGAAAGCTCTACACTTGGTACAAGGTTTAGTGCGTCACGAGTTACCGATTCCAGCGGTCTTGTGTATCACAGCTTCGCCGGTCCCTTCGTGTGCCAGCTTCACATGTCTATGCATTCAGGAGCACGACCTCCTGATACACAGAACATATTACAGCAGCGTCATTACGCCATTACACAAAGGAGCACATGTTATGGTGTAGGTCTCGAATTTCTGGTGAATAACATTATGTTGTCACGCTTCTACTACCGTGAAGGTGTTCAAGGTGTCGGAAAGACTTTGTACCGCCAAATAACCGCATTTTTCATCCTGGTACAAATTCGTGACACCTGTCAAATAAACAGATCACCAGTTACCGTTTTTCGGTGGCATTTTAGCCTGCGACAGTCGAACGGGATCTCTAGCCTTGTCATTACCATGCCACTCATATCGTCATGAGCTACACAATACTTGTCATAAGTTCTGAGTTTCCTGTCATTGAGTTGCAATATACCAGTTAATTAAGAGGAAAATCGTTACTGGGCTTGGATTTGTTAGCTCAATGAACGCTCTTGCCGTATACATGCGGTTGTCCATCCGAACTCGATTAACACGATATGACCAAGCGCGAAGACCACTCGCTTGCAAAGGAAAGCAAAACGCAATATGCCGTTGTTTGAAACGCAAATAAATACTGTGATCACATTGTTAGTGTGGACGGCATGATCCAATGTCTCTTTTGTCGCAGAAAAATGCAAAGGCAGCGAAACCCTCGAGCAAGGATACATGCACAAGATTCACCGATTACCAGCACACAAAGCAAACGGCTGTAAACATATGAGCTTGTGCCAGGCACCAGTAGAAGAAGTCGCTGAACATGTACGCCGCATACTGTTGTGCAAGCGTGTGCGATGATGAGGAGGAGGAGGAGGAGGAGGGGGAGGGATGATGCGCGTTTATTCGTGTCGACGTTCTTACGCAGCCCGTACATGATCATCGACAATCTCTCGTAGGTTTTGCAAATTTACGCGAAGGGGTCGTTACGTCTACTGTAGGTGTGATGTTTATGCGGCTATCGTATCTAGCGTCACGCGACTCGATATCAAGGAGTGGAGCAGGGGCGTCATCGCAATTGCTACTTTCCAACCATTTCTTGCGAAATTGAGCACGCGTACGGGATGTAGTGACCGACGGTTCTTAGTGCTTACGCTTGGCCTGGAATACCAGCTTGCCCATTGCGCCTTCGCGAAAATTTCTACGACGCTAACTCTAGCTGAATTCAAGGACTGCACAAAACAACGCTGATTGTCTCGTCGACGGGTACGCCGCTGCCGTGTTGCTTTCCACTGAGGACACTTCTCGCTACGATTGTTGGGAGTTAGAACCAAAGCGAGATCAGGCCGCATGTCATCACGTTGTACCACGACAAAGGGAAGTCGGCTGTGGCGGTAGTATATCCCGAAAGACTTGATGACCTTTTCGCTACCAAGGACAACTCGGTTTTGAATGCTGCTGCTGAATCATGCGAGCAGCCAAGATAGATGTTGGAGAGAGTGACCAGACCATGAACCGCAACAATGTAGCTACAGTGAAGATTGCGTCAAGAGCTGCATGAGACACATACAGACTGTGTGTAGAACGATATAGCATGCACTAAATGGAATTTTGTGCGCAACACCGAAGCTTGAACTGCTCAACTTGGTATCCTGCTCAGCTGGCGTAGAGGACCATACATAATAGTAAATGAAGCGACTTTTCATTGAGTTTATGCGTCTTCTGTTGTTTGAGCCGCTGTACAAACGCGCTTGTAGTCTTGTATGCAGCCAAATCATCATTGATGATGTGAAGACTCATCAGCGTGCATGTTTCGAAGGAAGGTCCAAGCCACTGGTCGTTTTGCGGCACAACGCTCATCCTTGTACGTTCACATAACAAATGACAGCTCTATGACCTTCTGACTGACACGATCCTAAACGAACATTGATGCATTCACCTTATTCGATAACTGAAAAACGGTGCGCTAGGCGATATACGAACTCGAAGTTAGCAGTGCCAATCGTACCGCAATGAACGCGATAAAGAACCACGTCGTTCCAGTTGTATCAACATCCGTACGCACGACAAGCTGAATTTTGATCGTTCCAAGAAGTGCGACACTAGAAGTCAAGATGCCTCATGGCCGTCCTTCGCAATGACACACAACAAACAAGCCGGCGTGACAGCACGATGCCGAGGCGTAACTACATCAGTCAGAGATAACCAAACGTGCACTAGACACGGTCTTTGTGTCAACACAACTTTGTTTTTTGTGTCGTTTGCACTTGCTCACCGCTTCTTTCGACCATCGAACGTGTCGTTGCAGCTTGTGGTAAGTCATGAAATGTTGTGGGAGTATAAGTCATCGGTGGGGCGTAGCGATAGCACTACGTCAAGTCGAGTGTCATTTGGCCGAGCTGAAATCTTCACACTTTATGGTTTCACCGGATGCCGAGTCTCGAGTGGAAACCGCCGATGTAACCAATCCACAAGATATTTGAACACGTCCTCCTTTTCGGGTTCCTCATAGATCATGTGATACAGACCCTCGAAAAGCTGAAAATCCTTGTCCAGGCTTCCCAGCTGATTGTAGAACTTGAACGCTGCTGCTTGGTCGGTTATGCGGTCGACTGATCCAGCGAGAAATAGCATCGGGACCCAGCAGAACGGGCAGTCGCCATCGGTAACTCGACGATCTTGTTGAAGCCGCATCATGGCATTGAGCGATTCATGACCACTGCGCGGGGTGATCATGTTACTCGACGTCAGAGGGTCTTCGCTGTATCGTTTCAAAAACTCCGGATCTCGTGATCGCAAGCTGTGCGGGATCGCAGGAATGACCTTCGCCGTTGGGAACGCTGCGACCAGCGGACGAGCAAACTTCCATTGAGCCCACAGCACTGGCGTCCACGTAACACCAATCGTAGGCGACGCCCAGAAAGCTGCGTGGAACTTGTGCTGAGCCGAAAGTACCGTGTGCAAGCCAATGAGAGACCCGAACGACGCTCCCGAGATGATAAGCGGCAACTCGGGTGGAGTCTTGCGTCGTTTTTCTTTTCCATGCGGGTGGATAGGATGGTGGTGTTTCCGCCAGTACCGGAGCGCGACTTTGAAGATGCTGCTCTTGGCGAACGTGATAAAGTCGTTCGTGTCGTCGACGAAATCGTCAAATTTACTGATGTGGGCGCGCGTGTTGTACCGGTCGCAGTCACTCACTCCGTGGTTCAAGAGGTCATAGGTAATGACACCGAAGCCTTCGTGGCAAAGTCGTTCGTAGATAGCCGTACTCCTTCGGCAATGATCGCCCATGCCATGCAAGTGCACGATAACTGCCCGCATGGCCAACTTCTCTGGAGGAAACAGTGAAAAGTAAAACAACGACTGGCCTCGTCGGTTCTGGAAATTGCCTTGAAAGTGGCGAAGACGTAGAGACGGCTCTTCGCTGCTCTGCAATATTGGAGTCGGTACCAAGTCGGACAGTGCCCTCGGACGGACTCGAACATTGTCCCCGAGAATCGGAATGTCCACCGACATCTGGCCGCCGTCTGATGACGCACGTCCGCGCATCTTTTCCTGATTCTCTGGAACCTGACGACGACTGCGCATTTGCTTCGCTTGCTTGGAAAGCAAATCGGCCGGTGGCTTTGCACGTGCAATTTGTCCCTTTACTGCCCCTGGACGCTGGGTGGACGGCTTGGCGTCCGTTGATTGCTTGTCCGAACCTGCACCAGCTGTATGTTTTGAGGCGACGCTTAGGTCGACCACGCGAGGCTTTCGTCCTTCTGCTGTCGGTCGGAACGCATCTTTGGCAGCGACCAATTCTTCGAAAGACAGTGCACGCTGCGATGAAAGACATTTCTTGACTACTTTCTTCGTGGGTTTGGAATCGGAGCTCTTTTTCGGTGCGGGCTTCTTGACTGCGTCGTTCACAAGGTCGTCATCGATATTCGGCTTAGGACGAGACCTCTCCGATTGCGCTTTTGTCTTGTTCTTTGACGGCGTCTGCTTCGCTGTATTTCGCGTGCTGGACGTGTTACCACCTGAGGCAAAGCCGTCAAAGCGAAGGGGGCCCGGGGCTCTGGACCTGAGATTTTTCATCGCTTTGGCACCGGCCATGGAGGCCTGCGACATCAACGGCGTCGATATCATTCGCGTCGATCGCGCGATCGATGCGCGCGTTGGCATTTTGAACGACTTCGTCCGTGGCACATCGCCCACCGTCGCAGCAGGAGTCGCCGCAGCTCCGGCATCAGTGGACTCCGACGACGACTGCGACTCGAGCGTTTTCCCAGCAGCCGCCGGAGCAAAAGCTGGTGTCGGGACAGAGCAAACCGGGCGCGGGTTGTTCGGACTCGAGTCCGAGCTGGACGACGACGTGGTCGGTGACGCGTCGCACGAGTTGGGCAAAGGCGCTTGTGTTAGTACGGACGACCCCTGTAATGTACTCATCCGCTCCTCCTGAATCGCCGACATGACGAGGCCATTGCGACTGCTGACCTGGCGAACGGGGAGTCCAATGGGTCCTCTCGTGCTCGCGGGCATCTGTTTGGAAATGGCACGACGGCTGCCCTTGTGCGTTTGGTTGTCTCGGAATGAAGCGGTGTGCCGTAAGTAGGGAGAGGTGCCACGCCATCACTGAATCTCTGATCGACGACGATGGATCGACCGGTCGACCGGTCGCTCGATCGCGAGTGGATGGATTCCGACTCGAAGAAAGCCGGTCCTCTGCGGCGGAAGGAGGAGAGGCACTTGAGATGGTGCATGGCTTTTCAAGTCAGCGCGCGTGCAAATCTCCTCAGTAGTTACGGTGTTGAAACGAGGGCGGCGAGGTTTCGGCCCCGACAAGAGACGGGAAGACAGGTCAACGAGGGGTTGCCAAGTGAAAGCATCGCAACTGCTGCTTCACCTTTTCTTGAGATCCGCGTGATGGTCGAGGCAGGGCTGTACCACCTGTCGTGGCTCTGGCTTCTTGCCAGAGAACGTGACTGGCTCACTTGACTATATATATTTCGCTGGTAGGTCGTCTGGGACTGGACGAAGCGGATACTTACGTGCACCAACCCGTATGTATGCCCACTCCCTCACTGACTGCATTTCAAAACCTGTTTGGACCACATGTCGATTCCATAGCTTCAGCACATCGCAAAAAACACGGCTCGAAACCTTACAAGTCCTTCCTGCAGCTGCTTAGACGCTATGTTATTGCGGATTCTTGACAGTCCTTGCACAGATGTCGTCGTTTATCCCATGCTGCACAGTTGGCAGTAAATCTTGAACACTCTCTGTCTCTGACAAGTTTTCTACACGCGTTAGGTGACGTGCGGGTATGTGAGACAACCCCATGGACAGATGGAAGATACAACGGACGACGACTCGACGACTCGACAACTCGGGCATTTTTGCCTTCGACAAGCGTTCATGCAAAGTGGTCCTTGCGAACGTGGTAGGTGGTATTCAACATGGAAAGCATACAGAATGCACCCCACTCACTCGGCATCGTTCCAGAAGAATAGCAACTCGTCAACGCGTTTCGGACGGGAACCGACGGTGCAACCACTTGGCAAGGTACCTGAACACGTTCTCCTTTTCGGGCTCCTCGTACACCAAGTGGTAGAGGCCGTCAAAGAGCTTGAACTCCTTGTCAAAGTTCCCCATTGTACCAAAGAATTTGATCGCCGCCTGCTGGTCCGAGATCCCGTCCAGCGAACCTCCGAGAAAAAGCGTTGGAACAGCACAGAAAGCGCTACTCGGATCCATCACCCTTGCGTCTTCCTGCAGTCGAACCATCGCTTGGAGGACCTCGTGCCCCGTACGTGCTGTCATCATGCCCATATTCGTAAGCGGGTCGGCTTTAAATCTCCTCAAAAAGTTGGGGTCTCGGCTTAGCAGATCGTGCTGCACGGGCGGCACCACCTTTGCCTTTGGCATCATCGCAGCCAACGGTTTCGCCAGCTTCGCCTCGGCCCATAACAATGGATTCCAAATCACGCCAAACGTTGGTGAGCTCCAAACTGCAGCATGAAACTTGTGCTCTCCCGATAGTATCGTGTTTATCCCAATGATCGAGCCAAACGACGTGCCGGCAATGATCAGGGGCAACTCGGGTTGCACAGCATTGTCCGGGTCACCGTCCTGATGACGGCTCTGACACTTTCGCCAGTATCGAAGCGCGTCCGTGTAGATCGAGCGCTTTGCAAACGTGACAAAGTCGTTCGTATCCTCCACGAGGTGATTAAAGTCCCCAATGTGCGTGCGAGTTTTGTGCTCGTCGAGGTCGCTCACGCCGTGATTGATCAAGTCGTAGGTGATCACACCGAAGCCTTCTCGACACAAGCGCTCGTACACATTCGCGTTGCGGCGGCAGTGATCGCCGAGTCGGTGCAGACACAGCACAACTCCTCGCAATGGCATTCCCTCCGGTGGAAAGAGAGAAAAGTAGAACAGCGTCTGCCGCCGTCGGTTCATGAATCGACCCTCGTAGTGACGCAAGCGCAACGGAGACGTTGGCGCACTCATCCGACGCGGACGGGGGGACCGAGACAAGCTGGACGTCGGTGTCGAACGAGGAGCCGTTTTGTCACTCGACTTGTCACTCGACACAGCGTTTGGCGACCTGCTCGACGGAAACGACGGCGATACGTGCGAACGTTCTCGTGAGCTCCCATACTGACGAGGCGACACTTGCACCTTATCTTTCCCTGGCTTAAAACCAAACGGCGACTCCGAATGCAGCGTCGTGGGCATTCTTGACTGCCGACACGAAGCCACTTGACGTTCCTCCGTATCGTTGTGACGACGCGACACCAGCTTTGAATACAGTCTCGAGCGTTCTCGGGCGGGAAAACTCAGTTCTCGAGACGATTTCGTCCCCCAATCCTCCTCGTTCGATTCAGTGTCGGAGTGCAACGCACGTGCAGGAGGCGACTTGGCGCGATCACCACTTGACGCGTCAACGCGGTGCGACGGCTGTCGAGTACCTATTTGCTGCTCGCTGTGGTCACTCGACCCAGCAGTGTGTCCAGCGCGCGTCTTGGAACTCGGACTGTCGTCGTCAAGGACACGACTCGGCCGTCGAAATGGGGGGAGCATGCGCTTCACCTGACCTTTATCGTCCGACAGAGGGGGCGACTTAGATCGGCGTCTGTCCCGTGACGTCGAACAGGGTCGGTCTGCGGTAAGAAGATCCGGCGCAGCGCGTCGATCCGACTCGTAGGCTGAAGGCGAGGGATCAGGCTCCATCTTGGTGGACGACTTGGATCGGACCCTCGCGGTCGGCTTACCACTGCCGTGCGACGCCTTCGGGGAGTGCAACTGGTCGCCTCTTCGTGGCGTAGATGTGGTCACGGGGGGATCCGAAAAGGCTTTCGGACGCGTACTTCGGGACTCGTCTTCCAAGCGCCGACGACACGGCCGTCCAGAACGAGACTCGTGCTGCTCGACCGGCGGCTTCTCTCGGTGCGAAGACATTGACGCGGTCGACTGGTGGCGAGAGGCGTTCGTTGGCTTTTGTGGCGCTCGATGATTCAGCGAACGGTCGTTGGAAACCTCTCGCGCGCTCGTGCGCCTCACCGCCTCGCGACGGCTCGAACGGGTTTCCAGTGACGCCACCGTCAGCGTCGCGTCTTCGGCGCGGGGACTGCGCTGCGCCTTCGGCAGCGGTTTCGCAGCAGCGGACGCGACCAGTGGCTCGAACGCCGAGCGACTGACGGGCGACTTGCACGTCGAAGGCTCGACACTGTGCGGCTGCGGCGCGTCGTGCGGTCGCTCCTTGAGGGCGTCGAGGAAACTGCCGCTGCTGGGCTTGATGTCGTCCGGGTGCTTGTGCCGGTCGTCGAGGCGCGACTCGCGCATGTTGGGCGGTTCTTCCACGATCACAGACATGGGGAGCGCGTCCCGCCCGGGGACGTAGAGCCCCGGGGCCCTACTGCCAGCAGACACCTTCCTGCAGTTGGGCATGTGGTGCCGTGTTGCTGTTTGTCGGATACGAAGGGCAGCAAAGAGAGAGCGCGAGAGTGTAAGCGATGGAGAGCGCTGGACGAGAGCGGAAAGAGATGTGACACTCGGTTTGATTATGGATTGTGCTTCTGAAGGCGTCCAAGGAGCGCGTCCGACATGAGGGCCGATAAAGACAGACAGACAGACAGACAGACAGACGGTCGTTCGTTGGGATGACTAGCCGCGGAAGAGCCGGACCAAGCGGCCCCAGCCTGATGCCGCGCAGAAACGCTCGGCGGTTAGGACAAGAGACTTGATGCTGTGCGGCCCGTTTCCCACCTGTCACCTGGTTCGAGCAAAGCCGTGCAGCGGTCGAGCGCGTGGGGCGATGGGACGCCCTTCATAGTGGGAGGCAGAGACCCGTTGCCACCCACAATGTCGACGTAGAGAGCGGACGTAGCTGGTCGATTCGTATGGTAAAATGGATGTGATGATGCTGCTTGCCGAGCTTTTCTTCGCGAGTCCTGAGCTCGTCGTTGTTCACTGCAATTCGAATTCACTCACGTCCGCATGTGGGTTTGTCGATCCCCAGATCCATCACACGGATGCGGGTTCATTGAGCGCGGCCTCACTTTGCTTCTCGTCAATCTCTTTGTGCTGCAGCGACACACTCGTATCGAGCCATACAGTCGGTATGCTGCATGGCTATCGGATGCTTTCCGGTAAGTAGATGCAGAAAAGTAAGCTACTGGATCGTCATTCCGTCAGAGTCGTGGATCGACGTCAGCCAGCGGACGTATGTGGGACGAGTTTTTGCCACTCTGCGCTCAGCTGCCCCTCTGCCAAATCCCTTTCCTCTTCCGGTATCACGCGATCACTTCGGTGGCAGGAAACGCGCCGTCATAAATGGTCCAACAGTGGCTCTCAAGCATCTTCTATGTGTCGTGACGCCGCGCTGCGCCAACGGTCGATAAGACTGAGGATCGCGAACAGGTTCCACTTTGCTGCGGTACAACCTGACCGAAGCGAATGAATGCCCAGATGAAAAAGAGCTACCTAAGATGCGGGCACGGCGACCGTTGCGGTGCTGCTTTGTAACTGAATCGGCATGAGAGAAGAGGCGGGCACCACTGCGGGTTTCCGATGGCGTGCACGAAGCAAACCTGCTGCAAATCGATCGAGCAACGCGCTTGCGATCAGTCAGGAGGCATCGATTTCGGCGTTTCGGTGCTGAATACAGTACGGACGATGGGTTTCCAGAACTTTTGAACTGGGTGACCCCGATTCGTACACTAAATACACATCGATAGATGTCAATCTGTGGATACTCTCCCCACATAGATTAAATTTAGATGTCTGTAGAGGTAATACGCTACAAGGACTTCTCTCATGAGTCACTATAAGCATATGTATCAATCAACAACATGTCCAAGCAATGATAGACGCGCGCGATAGAGGCTAGCAGATATTCACAGAGTGTGTAGTATTAACTAGTAGTTAGGGAAGGCTAAAACGAGATTTATTAGAAGAAGCTTAATTACAGTACTACTGTACATTTTCACAATTTGCATCGCCATTGCACGGCCCTGCCAGCGACGAACCAGCTGTTTAACCTGATCGTACTCGCCTACACTCTCCAATTCTCTATTCCAGCGCTTGCGCCCGGGACTCCCTAGCACTACACGCACCATGCGCGAAATGGCGACCCATCATGTACCGGGGTAGCCCTTTACGTGACATTGTCATTAAGGATAAATGACAATAAAGAATATTACGTTGAATATTCTTTTAACAATATCACAAAGCATAGTAATATCGGTGGGATGACCGAAGGGTCTACTCATTGGTTGATATTAAGATGATGTCAACCCACCAATCGCTGCCAGACGCGCTCAATGGGTGGTGAGTAGACTTCATTATGCATTTAGATAGACATATATAATTAAGTCAGGACCCACAAGAGAAACAAGAGTTCAAAGACTTTACTATATTAATGACAGTTTTACTTTTAACACGACTAGAGCCTTTGCATTAGTCGCTCTATCTTACTCTGTGTAGTTCTACACCTAGCAGGGCACTGACCATCACTGTTGTCAGTGAAAGTCAACTCCGTACAGGTAAAAAAGTACGTAGTTGTCGGTACCCCGTTACACATCACGAGCGAGCTACCCGACAAAAATTCGAACCGTCCAATATATTGATCGATAAGAAGCATATGCAGCACTCAGCGGCACGGTCTCTAAGGACTTCAACCCCGACAAAAACAAAAGCTTGAAAGATCAGATGCCTTCCTCTTAAGAGTGAACGGGCGCCGGGCATTCGCCCATTCACCCATTTCAATATAAATGCATTGACTCCAACAAGGATATTTGACGGAGGGCGTCCCTAGCCCTATGCAGCTTAACCCTCAGGCGGAAATGGCGAACCAAACTGGACACGGCAAAACAGCCGTAAAATTTGCTTACAGCGGTGGTAAAGGTCGATAAGCGGCTCCTTGTGTACATCCGCGAGACTCTTAGACGACCACGACAGCGATACTGTTTCGAATCGCATAAAACACATGTAACGTGCTAAGCCCGATACAAAAAATTGATACGAATGTATCAATTTTTTAATATCATTCATTTTGATAATGTCCAATCAGCATCACTCGAGAAGAGGCGATGTTAGCGGAGTATAACCCCCGAGGGTAATATTCTTATGTGCTCCACTTATTGGTTATTCTAACGTGTGGTTTAGTAGTTAGATAATTTTGTAGTACAACAGTCTCAACGTACAAACACAACAATCGCCGAGCTTTGTCGGCGATACGGTCTGGTACGTTAGGATAAATCCCTACGCGGTTCGCTCCTTCGGGGTTCAGTTGTGGTTCTCGCCTAACCGAATCCTTAAAACCAATTCCTTCAGAGGCCTGCTTGAGCTCAGCAGCCTCTAATCCTCTCTCTTCCTGTGACTTCACATCAAAGGATGGAATCCGACGCTTACGCCTTTTGTACACCCGACTAGAATAAATACGGTGTCCTCGGCTGAGTCTTACCGACTTGTCACTCAGGCAAATCTTTAGAAAACGGAGCCTTCTACTGAGTCTCGCAGGCCCGTCGTCGACGAGCTTCACAACGGTCCCTTTACCGAGATTTACCGGCTCTTTGACGACGAGACTCCTTCTTTCGCTCGTATCGAGCGCTGCCAACTCCGGGCCTTCTTAAACTCTTGGCGCTACCAGTCGATAACTCTACAAGCTATGCCTCTAGAGGTTTGATGGCAGGCATAATCCAGCCCACATAGGGACTTACCATAAGTGTACGCGTGTCTTGAGCTTAAATTTTTACACTGTATTGATTATCTCTTTTACTCTTCCTGACCGCGAACGGACTCTTAAGTAGACCCTTTAAATCTTCCTTACCATCTTAAAATAATGCCTATTATTTTGGATCATTCATCATCTCATTCTCTTATCTTCTCGCGTCGTTTCTTCACACGTCGAGTCTTCCTTTGTTGCCCCTTAACTCGTCGAGTCTTCCTTTGTCTAGCCTTCCTTCGTCGAGTATTTTTCGTCGAGTCTTCAATCGCCGAATCTTCACTCGTCAAGTCTTCCTTTGTCTAGCCTTAACTCGTCGAGTCTTCCCTTGTCTACACTTCCCTCGTCGATTCTTTTCTCGTAGAGTATTCCGTCGTCGAGTATTTCCTCGTCGAGCCTTTCCTCGTCGAGTATTCACTCATTTGGCTTCACTCGTCGAGTCTTCACTCGCCAAGTCTCCACTCGTTTTGACTTGATTCTTTGGGTTACTCCTAGTTTAGCCATGATTGGACGACGACGAGGCACTTCGATTTCGCTCGTCGGTGTCACCCTTCCTATAATTAAATCAATAGTATGGAGTTCCTCGTTTGGCAATTCTCTACACCACAACTACCCCGGTCGTAATACAAAACTAAGCGGTGATTATCTCGACCAGTGTATTACTCTCTCCACCAATCGTCCATCTTGAGCTTGATCTTCTCTCTTTCGTCGCCCCTTGCTACGCTGCGACTTGTCATGCTTGCTCTCACGCCTGTAGCTAAATTGACGTCGTGCCTTTCTGCAATGCATCGTTATACTCAGTCTCAGTCACCGGATACGCCATCCAGTCCAGTCAATTCCGCTGCTTCTGTTATGGTGGGTGCTGCAATTTGTCTCGCCCACATCTCATTCCGTCCTGACTCCTCGTGATCCACGGTGCTCTCATGCACTTCTTTGCTTAAGACCAACTTGTCTTATAGTGCTGTCGGTCCCGGGAACGCCAGTCCGCCCATCAATTCTCTTCTTGGAGCTGTCAACGTCCCACCGGTTATCGTTGTTTCATCGAGTTCGCCTGGTCGACTCGTAGCTGCGGTGGGCTTGCAACGATTGCAGCCTGGTCATCAAAATTCGCCGCCCTCTGAGTCGTAGTAAATGATGCCGCCGACCTGTGATACTTGTTTGCAAGCGTCTTCATCTTCCAGAATTCGCCTTATGATACGTCGGACGTCGACGTTGAAAGCTTGACCATTTTTGCTAAGCTCCGTTGGACGCTGAGAGGCATGGAACACCGGACCCAGTAGCGTGACGTAGAATTTGTGATGATCATTGCCCTTTTTGGAGACTCCACGGCCGTTTCTTGATATGAAAACACGTCAATCTATTCGGCAGACCAAGTCTCTCGCCCACTTGGCCATCCCCGCCGGTGGAAATGTCGTTGTGCCTCTCGACCACATGGACTCGGTAGCTCCGTTGTGCGTAGCACTTGCGCAGTCGGAGTGGAGTAGCGCAGCACGTCGTCCTGCGATTGACGAGTTCGTGAACCTGCGCACTCAACCTGAAGACTACCCAGGTGGAAGCTGCTACTTGGCAGGAAGCTGCACTGAGGATCACCGGTGTTATCGAGTTACTGAAGAAGCCGATCTTCAATCTTGAGGCGGAAGCCTCTCGTGTATCTACCCAGCTCGCGGAACGACTTGAGTCAGCAGAAAATATCACCTCTAGCTTGAAACTGGCCATCCATGCG